GCGGGGGGGTGGGTGGGTGGGTGGGTGGGTGGGTGGGTGGGTGGGTGGGTGGGTGGGTGTGTGTGTGTGTGTGTGTGTGTGTGTGGGTGGGTGTGTGTGTGTGTGTGTGTGTTTGTTTTTTTGTGCTGGGTTTTCCTTGGTTTGTGGTTCTTTTGTGCTCCAGGATTTGTGCTTCTAGTTTTGCAGTTTGGGCTGCAAAACTGCTGGCCTTGAGGAGTTTCTACTTTTCAGTTGTGCTCCCAGTTGTGTTTTTTTCGGCCTTCCTGCTCTGCTTTTCCGTGCTTCCACTTCTTCATTTTCTGGGTTCCAGAGGGCGGGAGAGAAAAAGGGTGAGAGTGAAAGAGGACATAGGGGGAGACAGAAGGAGCGGGGGTGAGGGAGAGGCTGAGAGGGAGAGAGCAGAGAGGAGTGATAGGAGAGATAGGGAGAGGGAGAGAGACAGACAGAGGGGAAGGGCAGGGAAGGGATAAAGAAGGCAGGGAGAGAGAGGTGGTAAAGGGCTTGACAAGCACAACTGGATTTCACAGTTTAGAGACGGTCGGGTTGGGTCTGACCAACTGAAACACCTAGTTTGGAGAGATGGGCAGCGTGTATTTGAGAAACCCCCGCACCTTCCAAGGTGTTGTGCTTTTATGGGGTTGGTGTGTTAAGAGAAACCCATTAGGCGACTGTTAGTGGGCGGGGGCAGTACTGAAGCATTATCTTTCGTCCCCAGTTTCCATCTCATGCTCCGTGTCTCTTTGCATTTGGTCCTCCATTGGGTCATTCCCCCTTAGAGTAACAGTTACCGCACGGGGTAATAGGAGTTATAATAGCCCCTTAATAAGGCCCCCTTTAAGGACAGTTACTGGGTGGGGGAATGACCCATATTCAACCATACACCCTGAACCACAATCCCTAAGCCCACTACGGATCTTCGGGCCGCAGTTTAGGCTTGTTCATTGAGATGCCAGACGCCGGCCCTAAACCCTAAACGCCAAAACTCTAAACCCTAAACTCTAACTCTAAACCCTAATACCGAAGCCCTGAACACTACCTTCCTTATGACCTTATTAAAACAGGTCCAAGACTCCCAGACCACGCACGCCGGGCGAAGGCCAGAGCAGCAAGAGAGGCATCGCAGCCTGGGTTGCTGTTTAGACTTTAGGGCTTAGGGTTTAGGGGGTTTAGGGTTTAGGGTGTTCACTGGGTCGCTGTAAAGGAACTTACCATGTTAAATCCCGCTATGATGGCGAATCAAGTGGAAAAGAACATGGAAAATGACATAGAAACTGAGGGAATATAGGTGTTTAAGAGGCTTAAATTAGTTACCATAATGGGTATATATGGGAACTAATAAGGTTTCTCCAATATGGCAACTTGAATTAAGTTACTTAACAGCAACCCAAGTTGGGTTGCTGTTAAGTTTAGGTTGCCAAAATATGGGTATATAGTGTTGAGGGTTTATAGGCTTTTAGGGTTTATGATTTGCCATAAACTGGGTGTAGTTTAGGGTTTGTACGGTTTTGAGTTCAAGGTTGCATAACTTGCCATAAGATGGGTACTAGGGTTTAGGGCTTATGGGGTTGTAGGGTGTAGATTGCCATAACATGGGTACACAGGCTTTAGGGTTTAGGGGTTTAGTCGCCGCAATATGGGTATATAGGGTTTAGGAAGTCGCCATAATATGGGTACATAGGGTTTAGGCTTTAGGGTTTGAGTTGCCATGAGATGGGTATATAGGGTTTAGGCTTCAGAGTTAATTTGCCATAATACGGGGTACATAGGAATTACGGGTTAAGTTGCCATAATATGGGCATACAGAGTTTAGGGTTTAAGTTGCCATAAAATGGGTATGTAGGGTTTAGGCTTGAGGGTTGTAAGTGGCCATAATGCGCGTATACAGGGTTTAGGCTTTAGGCTTTAGGTTTTAATTTGCCACAACACGGGTATGCAGCATTTAGGCTCCGATTAAGGTTGCAGTTGTCAGAAGATGTGTATAGAGGGCTTAGGGGTTAAGTTGCCATAGTCTGGGTATAAGGTTTAGGGTTGGCTTAGAATTCACATTATGATAATATGGGTATACCGTAAATGATGGGGTTTCCGTATTGTAGTAGCCTTTAGGAGGACCCCCCGCCCTGTAATAGTGGTATAATAGGAATATAGGAGGACCCTAATATAATCCCTATTTTCCCCCATAGTCACTATTACAGGGTGGGGGGCGGTCCACCTAACCTTAAAACCCTAAAAACCTAAAACCCTAAACCCTAAAACCCTAAAACCCTAAACCCTAAAACCCTAATTTAAGCTCCTGAACAGCAACCCAGTAGCCTCAGCCCACTCTTGCGCGCAAGCCTGTAAAAAGCTTCCAGGTCCAGGAGTTGTTCCTGTGGGATGCAAGGATTTTTGATTTCGGGTTAAGGGAGTTAGGGCTTGAGGGTCTAGGGCTTGGGGATTGAGATTTTGAGGTTTTGGGTTACGGGTTTGGGATTCAGGGTCTAGAGTTTCGAAGTTTTGAGATTTGGCCCTGAGTTAAAGTTGAAAGGGTAGGCTTAGGGGGGCTAGAATCTTAGTACAGCTGTTATTACTATTATAGCCAGTACTGTTCTTACTGGGGTTGTGCGCTGAAAGCTACTTTCTGAGGTGAGTCCAAAGCCGTTACAAGCCGTCTCAGTATGCCGGTCATTGCCTTTTGACTGTGGAACCTGTTATCACCAGCATCCCTAGGATGAGAATATTGATATTTCTTTTACTATTTGCTTAAGAACCACCATGTTTTTTTCAAAAAAAAATCCTTATGAGTGTAATATAGGGATTATCATCTTTTATCTTGTTCAAGGCCTCTTAAGCAAATAGTAGTCTTTCAAGGCTCTACATTACCAGGATTTTGGTATGTATGTCAGGCTCCTACATTATCATAGTATTGGTGTTAGTCTAGGCCCCTACATTACAGTACCATAATATTCTTAGTATTCTAGGCCCCTACATTCTGAAGTCGACGAAGTTGACAGATTCGCTGCGCGGAGGCTCCTGGTCAAGCTGATCAATGATCTCATCGTTTCCGCTGTATAGGCCTGGGCTTTTTTCGTCAACCATCGGTGGTTTAGGGTTTAGGGAGCTTAGGGCTTAGGGAATTTAGGGTTGTTTCAAAACCCCAGCCCAGTACTGACGCCCCTTGGACCTTGTTGGGGGCGGGGTTGCGGGAGGGTGTTTAAGGGGGGGTAAAGTTGTGATACGCAGTTGGAGGTTTTTGGATTAGCGTTGTAGGTTTGTGCATTGAATCCCATACCATCTTCAGGAGCAAAGGTGGTTTTGGGCTTAGGGTGTAGGGTTTTAGGATTTGCACTTAGGGTCCAGGATTTTAGGGATTCAGGTATCAGCAAGCGGATTGCTCAGCAGGCACAGCGTAAGGGGTTTGCGGGTTTAGTGGGTTAGGGCTTTGTGAACAATCGCCTCTCCTCCTATCAAAGACTTGAAGGTCAGGTACTGTTCGTGTACTCCATCGGCAAGTTTGGGGCTTAAGTAGGGAGTTTAGCTGGGAGCACCCTGAACTCAAGGTTCTAGACCGTACACGTAATTGAAGCCTGCACAAACACGAAAACCCATACAATAGCTACCATGCAGCAGCTCTTTATCTTGACCCCTGGTAGGCTACTCATGCATTGTGAATACAGACGACACCCCTTCAGCGCGCAAGTTGTAGATCCCCACCCTGCATCACCCTGAACCCTGCAGCCCCAAACCCTACATACATGGGGGTTTCCCCAAAACAAGGGGTACTATTTTGGGGGTCCCTATAATAAGGACTATAGTATTCTTGGGTGTATATGAGGGTCCCCTATTTTGGGAAACTACCACATGTCTGAACCCTAAACAATGACAAATGTGAGGTGAAGGCAAACGATGAACAAGGCAACAGCCTAATGGAAGCAAGCCTTAAACTCTTACTAACCTCCCTGGAACCCCAAGTAGAACTTATGATGGCTCCTGGTTCTTAGGATTACGAATAACAAAAATCTAGAATGATCTTCAGGGACATCGAGTAAACCCTGAACACCCTAAACCCAAAGCTCTAATGCGTCCTAACCGTCCCAGGGGCGGTCCAGATCCAGCCCAAACATCTCCTCGATGTCATCAGGATCCTCTGCTTACATAGGGTGATATAGGGACTAAATAGGTGTAAGATGATTACGGAATATAAGGGTATACGTAAATGTAGGGCAACATAGAGACTGTGTAGGAATAATATAGGGTATGTATTACATTAGGGTTTTTTCGGGGATGGAGCTCTTGGAGGTTTGGTTGTTTTGCCTTGTAATGTTTAGGGTCACATGGCTTACTGTCTACTGAGATCTCTTCAGTGCCTAGACCCTAAACCCTAAGCCTATGGAGAGCTGTTCGAAGAAGATCTGGTGCATTTTCGGGGTGTGAGAGAGACTACCACGCGTCTTCTCGGCTCGACTGACAGCACTGAAGCCCATTCGAGCTATAGTCTAAACTCCTTAAAGGGGTGTTTTATGAGGATTCTATAGGGAAGTAGTATAGTGGTTATTATGGGGGAAACTCAGAGTCCGGACTATAGCTCATTTGAGCCTTGCAGTTTGCGAAAGGCAAGCACCTGCATCCTTCTTTCACAGCCGGGCAGTCAAAAGAGCATTATACACCCGAAACAGGAATGCGCCAAGCAAACGTGGAACCCTTCCTCGCCCCCTTAGAAGAACACGCTAGTAGAAGCCGCCCCACAATCCAATACGAGTCTCTCGCATCAAAAGATACATTGAAGAGCCCTGGCTTTACTACACAACACTTTCATTGCAACGGCAAAATAGTGTGCAGCAACAGCCACTAACCTGCCTCCTGCTCCGCGTTGTATGCTTGTACAAAAGCTTCTCTGATCAGCATCTTTGTTTCGCTGATGTTGCTTTTCTGTTGTGCAAACTCAATCATTCTCATCTTGCTGCAAAACCGTATTATGCTTACTACAGGGTGATTCAGAATAATCTCAAATCCCAATTTAAGGCCATGTAAGTACTATTCCCTGTAAAAAAAAAGAGACACCATTTAGGGTGAGGTTGGGTGAGGTTGCTTTAAATTCCCCAGTGCTACCAATGGTCAAGGATCCCCGTTAAACAAGTTAAGAACAGGGCGCCCCTTCTTGTCCAAACCAACTGCACAAGGAAGCTAAGAATTCAACTATGGAAAGCAGGTGTTTGCGTGAGACCCGGAACCCAAAACCCTAAGCTCAAAACCGAGAAGCCTGACCTTAGCAGAAAAACGTGAAGCCTCAAGCCCAAACCCCCAAAACCTCAACACTGAACTCCTAAACACAAAGCCCTACCCCAAAATCAGTTTAAGTCCCAAACCCTTATCCTTCAACCTTCAAACCCTAAACCTAAACCCCGTTTGCAGCAGGCTTGGACGTACGCGCCTGGGTTGATGCCCTGACCAAGAACCCCTGCACTGGACTCATGCGAGCGAGAGCGGTTTGGCACAGTGTCTAGTCTCTAACGCACTGAACGTACTAACCCAACTAAAGCACTGATAGGAATACAGGTAAATATCACTGAACCCTAAACCCTTATCCTCAAACCTCCACACCCATAGTGCTCTTGTCTGCATCGAAGCGGCGCCTTCGCGCATCAGGCCTCACTTCTCCAAGCGGTTTAGGGGTTTAAGAGTTTAGGGGTTCAGGGGTCCAGGTGCTTTGGGGTTGGGGGTTTAGGGGAAGTCGCTGGCTTTTCCACCAGGATAAGCAGAAAACACTATTTTCCGGATGGATTCGATCATCCAGAGCGGGACATCGAGGACCCCCTGGTTTAGCGGAAAGTACCATAACCCGTATGAAAAGTCCATAAAAGGTAGGGTTTGGGGTCTAGCGCTCTCTGGCGCTCCCTGATTAAGTGCCTACAGAAGGAGCGCAGTCTAAGTGTCAAGGCTTATACCAACTATACCACACCCTGGAGTACTACCAAAAGACCGTACACTCTCCTCCTCTAGACCCTAGACCCAAAAGTTTTACCATGTGGACTAGTATCGGTCCAAGTCGTGGCTGTCGAACTGCCTTGCGTTCCTGCCAAGTATTCTCAGGAGGTTAGGGTAACGGCCCTTTGCACACCTACAGGCTTATTTAGGATACAGGCCCTGGAAACCTAAAAGGGCACGTGTTCGGTTTGCAGACGATGATTTCAGGGGTCCCCCTACAGGATTCTGGGGGACTTCCTTCCGAAACTCCCGCAGACTTACTTCTAGTGTTTAGGGTTTAGGGTTTAGAGTGAGCGGCGATTTCCGCTTTGACCTGTATTGAAGGAACGGTTTACTCAGCTGCTTCAGAAGGGATAAATGTCCAGGATTTGTCAAAGAAGGCTGCAGGATACCACCCATGCGTTCTTCAGCCTCCGGTTCCGCAGCATAAAGCTAATGTAGTGTTTACGGTTTAGGTTTTAGGGGGGTTTAGGTTTTTTCTTTTGGGTTTAGGGTCATGCCACTAAGTTGTTAAACTTGTAGCAAACCCAAGCTGGCAATCAAGCCCGCTTTGTCAAGCACAGCTTGTGACCATGTCATGTCACATTGAGAATGCCTCCATACACAGTAGACCAGAGAGGTTTGGGATATGTTGTTCCATGAGCGGCTGGGTAGGTTCCTTTAGGCCGAATGAAGCTTAATCAGGGGGGCAACCTAGGGCAGCGTAACAATTATTATGGGTGGAATGGATGACAAGTGGCACCGCTCTAGCAAAGGGCGTGGCAAAAACGCAGCTTCCCAAAGCGCGCGCCACAACTTCTGAACATCCAGAAGAACCGGCCGAGATTTTCGACACGCTTTTATGAAGCCTCCAATATGTCCCATACCCTTCTGTCTGAAGTGAGCTCACAGCCCCCAAACATTCCACACTATACCCTACACTGGAAACACGAAACCTTATCTGCAGTCGGCAGCCATCTGCATTAATATCTTAAACAACTTGGCAGTTCAAACCTAAAATTGCATGAGTCCTGAATACTAAGGCCAAGATGACGAAATCTTGCACCATTCTGCACCCAGCCTTGACACTAACTTCACTAGGTTCTGTATCTCGACTGGTGGGAGAGTTCCGTTATGAAAAAGGCTTTTAGAGGAAATCTTGCAACCCTGGGGTCATGCAAGAAACCAAATCCCCAGGAGTTCAGGGACTTAGGGTGGCTCGGGATGTCTTCCGTCCACAGCTGCATCAGAGGCAAACTGTCTGTGCCGAAATAACATGTATTTCGTAACACCCTCATTGCTCTCCCTGCACCTTGGCTTGGGGTTCTCCTCGGGGCTAAGACACCTCCCCCAAACAATGCGCCCAAAGCCTCAGCCCCTAAGCCGGAAAACAACCCTAATCTCCAAACGCTCAAGGAATCCAGTATCCCTATGATCCCCCAGTGCTATCCATTTTTTGCGGCCCTCAAACTCCAAACCTAGGCAACCCGAAGAGTCCATGTAGGTATACCGTATATGCTTAGAGCCTAGGGGGTCCTATACAACTATTTTGGGGCCCGATTTCATACCATATAACTACATGAGCTACAGTCAATATTACCCGGAGAATTTAATGGAGATGGGTTCCTTATTCTAGGGACTATACTAAACTACAAGAGGGACTCCTACGTCCACCATTATGTGTCCTGTAATAGGCCTAAGATTGGCCGTAGCTCGCATGGACCCTTTTGCAACAAAAAAACCCAAGGCCTCGATCCTTTGGGCAGGGGGAGCTCCGGGGTCCTCTTCAACTCTGCACGAATCTTCTTCCACTTGTCAAGCACTGCAATGAGTTCCAAGGAATCTGAATCTCCTAGCTGGCGCCAGAACACTCTGAAATCCTAGAAGTAAGGAATACCACAAGGCAGGCATGATGCAGTGCCTTTTGCAAGATTTTATGCGGTGTTTGAGAAATACCGGTCACGTGTCGCGCCAAGGGTTTTGTGGCTTTTGGGCTGAGCGTGTGGGAGTTTAGGTTTTGAAGGGCTCCCCTGAACGAAGCCCCAAACCTTAAAAAGCTAGCACCAGATTAACATGAAACTCAAAGGGCCGTACAAAGGCTACAGCCCTCTACTGCCAGGCCGTCTATAAGTTTGTCAACTACCTTGAAAACACTGCCTGATTGGGGCGTCTACCCCCGGGGCTTAGGGTTTCGTGTGGCAGGCCCAAAGCCAGAAAGCAGGCCCCTAATTGCTTGCCACTAAGTTAGACACCCTCCGCCCCCTCTATTGATACATATAAATATGGTCGCGGGGGATGCTGTAAGGGGTGCGTTCATGCTTTGGGGAACGGGGACGGGGAAAGGATTCTTTCATTTGGCATCCCCGTTGGAGAAAATGCTTCTCATGGTTTAGTTTAGCACTCCAGGAAAATCTTTACAAAAGGAACAACCCTGAACTGGGAAAGGCATTTGCCAAATCATGGTGCTCGCATGTGCTCGCATAGCCGCCGCAGCAAGCATTTGCACAAATTGGAGGATAGAGGCGCCCGTCAGGGATCGTCACGCTGGGTTTTCTGAAGGATGGCCAATCGAGATCCCTGAAACTTCAGAGCCTGATACCATGAATGAACCATAAACTACGATGTGTTGAAACGCGCCCGCCCAAATCCTTGAAACTCGAACACGCGCCCCTACTGTGAACCCTCCCAAACTACTGGCCTTTTAACTTAGTTTTTGATGTGGCTTGGGGTCCTGCTTCTGCAGAAGCAGTTAAATCCTAAACCCTGAACCTAAGACCTGAACCCAAAGCCAAAACACTGAACCTTGGCCCTAAAAAAATAAAGTCGCAAACCTGCGACCAGAAGGGTCTCCATGTAAGTCCGACACCTCCACCTAAACCCTAAACCCTAAATCCTAAACCCTCAAACCTAAATCCTAAACCCCAAACCTTAAACTGGGAAGAGTCTCCACATAAGTCCGACACCTTCTCATCCAACTTCAACTCACGACTTCCGAGGATCAGGGCCATCTCCTGTTCTTGCAGCTTCAGGGGTTTGGGGTTAGGTTTAGAGTTTAAGGTTAAAGGTTTAAGGTTTAGGGTTTACAGTTTATGTAGGGTTTAGGGTTTAGGGTTTAAAGTTTACTTAAGGTTTAGGGTTTAGGGTGTAAAGTCTACCGTGTACTGTTTAGGGTTTAGGGCAGGGCTTGCAGTCTGGGGTTTCGGATACATGGGGGCATGAAAGGCTATAGAAGGAATTAAGGGTTTCCAGAGGGTTGAGGGGTTTAGAGTCTGTGGTTCATGCTCCCCAAATCTCCCATAACCCTAAACCCTACGCGCCTGGTCTCAATGCCGATTTTGCACCATTGCTAATATCCTGGAACACTTAGCCCTAATGTATACCCCTATACAAACGCCTTAATCCACTATGCAGAACGGGAGCTTCCATTTCACTTCCGGGTAACCCAATATCTCCCTATTTTACTGTTCAACATTAAGTCCTTGTAGAACCTATACATCCCCAATTGCCATTGGATTGTCCAATCTCTTTTGAATTTGATTTTCCATTCCTAACCCTCAACCCTAAGCCCTAGGTAGTAGCTTCTATATCATGTTCCACTTGCTGTTCCACCTGATTTTCCCTTCCCTACTTGTCTGCCAAGTTTCGGCGACGAAGTCTGCGCTGGCGACCTGGAGCTCCTCGCAAAGGGGGACCCAAAGCCAGTAGGTTTAGGGGGCCGAGCGAAATTGGCGGATATTTATTTAGGGTTGGGAGCTTCTACAAAAACGGAGGCCCCTGAAAACCCAAAGGAGTACGCAGAGATCTTTGGCGGCCGACGGTCGATACTGAAAACTCCGGCATGTCGTCCAAGCACCTTATACCTGCGAGACCCTGGTATTCTAGTGTTTGCAATCAACAGCAGGATGAAATCTGTCTGAGTTTGGTGTTTATCGGTCAGGGCGAAGGGCTGCATAGGACTGGCGTGTTAAGGCCCTTCAGATAAAAGTAGTCCTGTGGAAGGCAGGGAGCCGGAAAATGGGGAAGCAAACCCAAAGTCACTGGTGCTTAGGAGGGAGTGGGGGAATGGATTATAAGGATCATTATTGGGGATTATATGGGGACTACTCTAGGGATGAATTCCCCCATTCCCTCCTAAGCACCAGGGAGTATAGTCACTGGAATCAAAAAGTTGCTGGTTTCCACCTTGAGAAGCCGGGGAGGAATTATTCCGAAACCTAGCCAGGACCTACATGCCAAACCCTCACGCTACCAGTTACCATCGCCTATACCGACTTGCGCTACAGAAGCTGCGTCTATCTTGAGGATTTGCTTCGTGTCGCTTCTTGCTACTACCGGATCCTCGTGAAGCTCTGACACAGTCATGTTGCCGGAGACTGGGACCGAGATGCCTCAACTGCCATGCTTCCACTTCCAACGCTTGGAAAGAATCGCATCCAACCCTATATATAAATGCAAGCTTTACTGGCGGTTAGCAGGGGATAAGGGAATGTAATCCCCAATTAGTACGTTCCCTTATTCCCTGCTAACCCCCCGCGGGACCAAATCTGAATGCCTGGTGCCCATAACATCTTGAAAATGAGCTTGCCTTTGCGCCAGGATGGTGTAGGGTTTTTGGTTATACGGGGGCCTAGGGCTTAGGGATAAACAAAAGGATCCGTCAAAGAATGATCTGTTTGCCAAATAGACTACGGAGACCCGTCGTCGGTGCTCCTCTGTTGGATACCTTTGCAGAGGTCCTTAAACCCTGAACCCTAAAGCCTGAATCCTAGACCCTAAACCCTGAACCCTCCAACCCCTAAACCCTGAATCCTAAACCCTAAGAGAAATCTTCAAAAGCCGAGAGTCTCCGGCCACCCAAGCCCAGTTGAACGCACGCTCGCAGGCATTCAGAAGCCTTTCCTGGCATCCCAAACAGCCCAGGGAAAGGTACGAATTGAATGTTAAACCCTGCTAAACTGCTAAACTCTAAAGCCCAAACTCTAAACCCTAAACCTGAAACCTGACTTCCCAATATCAGCTGGCCAAGCTCGATGCTCCACGCGCTACCCCTGCAGAAAAACAGCAAGCCCACCAATTCCTCAACTCTATACATCCCACTCTTAGTCCAAGGTTTAGTGTTCTGCCAACTGCATGGCCATACAGCACCCTAAACCCTAAAC